TATCCTAAACTTCTATTTCAATATTTGGCTAGGCCTGTGGATTGCCACAGAACATTCAAGCCAGTTCACTGACATTGCCTCCTGGCCTTCATTGACTGAAAAATTTAACTATGTGATACTTTAGGATATTCTATGATCTAAATAAACTTTATTGACATGACTGTGGTGCTGCACAAAACCATCTCTGTGTTTTAAATTTATAATATCAAGCAGTGTTTAGGTGCTTCACTGAGCCTGGAACGCTATTAATCTTGGGAATAGTGCTCTCATTAACAGAACATACCAATTAACAAAAGAAAATAACCATTTGCATACCCAACCAGGAAATCTGTTGGTAGGTAATAACAGTATACTTCAAACATGAATTAGCTTTGAAATACCATAATCAAATTAAGTCAGTAAAAGCTTATCTAAAGAGAAATTAATTCTTTCTTCAATTAAACATGCTTTGGAGGAAGAGATGATAGAAAAAAAAATCATGCTTCCTAAAATGCTGTATATGAAAAAGTAACTTGGCTTTAAAGAAAATATCTCTTTAAATACATGAGGTTTAATAAATTACATTCCAATTGACTCAAAAGTTTGGTTTACTGCACTGAAATTATATAATTACTATGTTTTTGCTTCGAGAAATTCTTTAGTTTGTTCGAGAAAATACTCTCATGGAAAGTTTTTCAAAGTTGATGTCCTCCACATCGTCAAGTCACATTAAGGCTGAACAAGCGTGCACATATTGCCCAAAGTATCACTAGAGTAGAATACTTTCCAAGTGCATTATTTCTCCTTAAACAAAAAAATCCACACAAAGAGTTGTCTCTAAGTCTTGTTCCCAATAGCTCAGTGGTTTTATAACAAGTAAAAATGGTGTAAATATGTAAAAAATATATATATGTGTATATATTTCAAACTGATAGGCACTGAGCACACAGGGCCTCTCTTCCCATGTATACATCGGTTGTTTGGTTTGGGTAATTAACGAATCAGAAAAATGAATTATCTGGCCTTTAGAATTCAGAGTAAAATACCCATAAATTTAATGTTATAAATAATCTGGTGTACCAAGAAGCCTACTTTAGGCCACCATAAGATTCAGAACCCCAACATACTAATTTAAAAATTACATGAAAAATTGCAAGCAAGTTATTGCTTACAATAAAGTCACAATTTTATATTCTCTTTATAGACAGATACATTTTATATAATTTAAAGCAATGACCCTACAGCTGTATTCTTGCACTTCTGTCTGCTGTTTTAAGAGGTAAAAAGGAAGAAAATGGTTCTGTTTGTCCCCAGCATGAGTGTGATGCCAGCTTCTAGAGGGAGGACGGTGTACGGACTCAAGAAACGCTCTCATGGAGAAGCTCTGGCCAGACCTGGCACGTACAGCACAATGGCTGTTACTGCAACCAGGGCAGCCAACATGGGCATCCAGGGCCAGGGTTTCTGTGTGGAAAGAAACCAAGAGTCAGTATCACATTCTCCCCTCTTTTCATACATATTAACCCCTTGGTTTCCAGAGAGTCCTGAATACTTGACTATTAGAAAAATCTTATCTTTGCATAAGAAAACATTTTAAAGAGAAAGGAAATAAAGGTGCGGGAGAGCAGGTGTGAGAAGAGCCCTAACAGCAGGAACTCTTTTAGAGGACCACTGTGTCTCGATACATCTCAGGCAAGTCCTGGGCAGTTTTCAGTTTTGTTACAGCTAAAAACCAACAGTGACTTCTAAGAAACCCTCTGGGCTCAGCCTGCTTTATTTACTCCAGTACCCATATATTACAACTAACTGATGTACACAGATGCCTGGAGTATGTTTCTGCCTAAAGTGTTTATTTCTTGATAAAAACCAGACTCACATAGTAGGGTAGTTTTATACAAAAGGCTGGTCAGTAAGGTGATCAAAAGAAAATGGTCTAAGCTTTGATGCTCGAATTTGAAACCACATAAGACAAAATCAGATGGGGTTCAAGATGGGGAAGTGTTACTTAGGGACTCTGCCTATCTGATACTTTTGGTAAAGACCATGTCCAGTGTAATAATGTCATGTGATCATCTCATATGTTCTACTAACATGCATGCCTGTTGGAGGCAAACATGGATGGGCTGTTCCCTGTTAATTTTCAGAGGGCTTTATAATATCAACTTGCTTTTGATTGATAGCTTTATTTTTATTAGTGTTTTTATTAAGAAAGTTGGCTTTTACGGAAATATTCTAATGTTGCAGATCAGGGCTCAGAAAGATATGGGATAAATTTACTCTCCTAAGTAAATGCACATTGAGGTTGAGATTGTGAGCCAATGGTCCATTATGTTAATCTCATCCTTTTTCATCTTCATAGCCATTGTGTAAATATAGGCAAGGATTGAAACAAAGAAACTCTACACTATGGAAAAGAAGAGGGAAGGGAGGAGGGGTAAGAAAGCTGGCTGAAAACTTCAAAGAGGCAAACTCTTCATTTCTCATTAAAATTTGATTAAAAATGTAATTGGAAAGGGGTACTAATATTGCAGAAATTCATAGCTTACTCCAGTTTGCTAGAGACAAAGACTCAGTTAAAGGCAGAATATTAACAACTGGTTAGGTTGGAATTAATTCATTGTTAGCATTACTACAAAGGAAACAAGACAAAATGTTACATGATTAGTTGGTTGTTCAGTTCATTCAAATGACACAATACATGGCATACTAAATGAAGGGTTTGCTTCAGGTAACAAAATACCCGTGTGGTTTTGCCATGCACTATATTACAAATATGGTACAAACAGGTGACGGGGACAAACAGACAAGGACTCAACAGTAGTGCTTGTACCTTTCTCTACCACAATGGACCGAAACACCAAAACAGGAAAGCCAGGAATAGGCCGATGAATACGGCTGGGACGGGTTGTAATATGGAAGGCTAAAGAAGGGAAGGGATATTAAAATCATTTTATGCTATAAAAAATCAGATAAGATGATTTAGACCCCAAGGGGGTGGGAGGAAGGGTAGAAAGACTGAGGTAATAGAAGTATTAGCACTCAGGTTTTGCACTGATTCAAACATTTTAAAGACATCTAATACAATCCAGAATGATGGACTGTGGTATGTAAGCTGACAAACTACAGCCTAACAGGAACAGCTGGAGGAATGGGCAATGTGGGTGTCCCTAACATCCTAATGAAAGGCAGTATGTTAAGACAGAGCAAGGACAATACCTCAACAACTGATGCTCTGCTTGACAGTACATTATTTTTGCTTCATACTTGGAATCCATTATTTGACATGAGTATATTGGAAACGGCTAAAATTTATTTGATCTCTCCATCAAAACCTTTCTTTAAAAAACCAAAACTCTTTTGCTGTTGCTTTAAAGCTTAAAAATAAATGCCCTATGGTGTGTGTTTTCTAAACCAAGTAAGAGAGCTGACATAATGTATGATAATCATTTGGTATATGAAGACAGGCAGCTAAGTCTCAGGGCTTTGGGTTATATTACCAAATATAAACAATTATTAAATTCGGAGGAAATTACCACAATGAGTGTTATTACAGAGTAACATTTTAGTACCACACGTCCATATTATAAATAAAAGGAAATTTACCCTTAAGGTAAATTATTTGTGCAACTGCAAATAATAATAATGTTACTTTAGAAAAGGCTCTAAATGGTGCAGGGAATCCATTCTGATTATGCTAGATGTCTTCATAGGTTAATTTAGTAGAAGGTAGACTGAAATTCCATACTCAGAAGGATATGAATTAACATAAAAGACAGGAGTAATCAAACTTGGAATCAAACCATTATGATCTGATTTTAGAAGAGTTCTGTAATCTATATTTTCAAATTAATGCACTCTATTTTTGCTTAGCATACAGCCTCCAGACCCCATTCATTAACTTCTAAAAGTCTTCTAACTAAGCCACATGCCTTTATTTTCTAAAAAACTAAGACTTTCTTTGGCAAAGGAAGGACAGCTGGACACAACTCATGAGCATTCTGTGACGGCCATGCAACACCACTCTTTTGCACTGTGCTGCGAGTTAAGCAAAGTGCCTTCCTCTGCAGGAAGTGTGTGTCTCCCGCAGTGTCCAAGCCATGGCAAAGGTCTGAAGTAAGTCACAGCACATCCAACCACACTGAACATCATCCATCAGTTAGGTCCCACAAAGGCAATGATCACCAAAACATGGAACACAACATTTATTTAGTACCACATCTTTTTAAAGACCATCTGCCTTTCTAGCAAATGAAAAACAAATTAATATTATTAAACCCAGTTTATACTAAAACATTCCAACTTCACACGTGCACGCACACACACATGTACACACATAGCCCTACAGAAACTCTTTAATATTTCCTAACATTTATGGGAGGCCAAAAAGACGTTACGTTTTTTACGAATGTGCCTTAGTGAGAAAATTCTTAGTATAAAATAAAAGCCATAATAAAGTTTCCATTTTTGGATACAGCCAAATGTTAAGGAGTCAACATGAACTACTCTTTCTTAGGTGGGACTCTGGTGGTACAAGGCTTCATTTCCCAGCCAGGAAAAAAAAGAGCCAGAAAGTGGGACAGAAGTTCAGATTCATCAGGGAAAAGCTGACAGTTCTTAGGTAATTATTCTCTTGCAAACAAGGCTCTTGCTCCAGGCAGTCCTCAGGCTCTTCTAGGGGTACAGGTTAAAGGAGCAAATTCTTAACTAAAAATTTTGACAACACAATGATTCCATCATGGCATTTCATAACGAAAAGCTTAATTCATGTGTATTATAGGCCTTAGTTTCTCAAATCAGTAATAAAATCCTCTGAAGAATCGATTTCAGGGCTCTCACCTGCCTCTCAATCAAAGCTAAGCCAAGTTTGCAAAGACTTACATTATTTCCTTTTTCTCGGAGCAGCTTCAGGTTGTCTTTACATTGTTTGAGCTCATCTGTGATTGATTGTTTTTCCTGCTCAGTCATTTCAAACTTCAACTTCAGTTCTGAGAGTACAGTCTGTGTCTTTTCATACTAAAGGCAAAGAAAAAAGAGTGTGCAGACTCAACTTAAATGGGTATGAAGTTATGTTCTAGTCAGTCAGGCTTATATACCAGACCCTATTTAGTCACCTGCAACACCAAAGTCAAGCCTTTTTGTTTTAAGAAGGATAAGAATCATTTACACTAATAATAAGAAGTCTTTAATATTAACTTGATTCTATGTAAGAATTTTCTGGCTCTGAAGTTAAAAAAAAATGAAGAGAAGTCACTAGTGTGTCATCTGTTTCTAATATAAAGGGTCACTTTTTCCACTAAGTGAGTTAGAGGAGAAAAATAAAATTTCAAACTGAGCAAAAGAAAACAAGTGAAGAAAAACTCCATAGCTTAATTAAATGGCAAGGTTAGAAAGTATGAGTTTATATCCTGGTAAGCAATATCAACCAAGCTAGTTTAGTCGCGAAGTAGAAAGTATTAATTCCCATTAGTCCTCCTTTAATCCAGCATCACAGGTTATGAAAATGTTCCAGATAAATGAATTTCTAGGCAAATAAAGCAAAGAAATGTGTCTAAGGCAGCGGTCGCCAACCGGTGGTCCGCAGACCACCGGTGGTCCGTGAGGTCCGAAAGGTTGGCGACCACTGGTCTAAGGTACCAACGACTATGAGTAGGGACATTTCTATCTCTCAACTTAAACTTATAAGCATCAATTAAAAGTAATTTTTAAAAATGTGTTTCTGATAGACATTATAGAAAAATGTCTATAGAAAAGTGAAACAAACTACTTCCTGCTCTGAAAAACAGTTCACAGTATATAATTTTCAGATGCACTAACTAGCCCTCAAAAACACAGGTGAGGTTAATGGGAAATGCAGTATGGTGTGCCCCTACTTAAATGCCCCCGGAGGCAGGAATTCTAGACTGGTTCCACTTCTAGATATTGCATCTTACATGCAAGCTGGGCTCCCAGTCAAAGAGCAAAGACTGTTCTGCTGCTGGCTGTGCCTTTGTCTCGGCCTCCGCTGCCATCTCTGAAGATTGTGGAAGAAAGAAAGACAAGGGCTGAGTATAAAATAAATATACCATGGGTCTGCCATACTGGAAAGGTTTCTCCTCTTCCCTAAACATAGACCATGAGGCTGGAAAGTTTCTAACCCTTTCTGCCTATATCCTAGAAATTCCTCAATAAAGGATACACCTTGATATGGTGCTTCTGAATAATGCAATTACCTTGGAGTTTATCATTATGCATCCCAAAAGGTAAAGAACTAAGAAGGGTAAAAATGTATAAAAACATTAGTCAGAAGAGGTGGGGGTAAGGGGCTTAGGGTCAGCAGAAAAGTCACTAGAAAATGGGGAGAAAGATATGTGTACAGAGAAGGAGGTAAAATATGAAAGGGGCGCCTTATTACCTACCAAAGTCCCCAGAACAAGTCCAGATAATATACCAGAGAGTGAATTAAGGAGTAAGATTCATGGACTTCATGACAGCTTTTTTGTGTGGGGTCTGTGGACTTCCTTCCAGAAGGCAGAAGGTTATGGGTAGGCTGCCAAGGCAAATTCAGTGTACCTAGACTAGTCTGTGTGCCTTAGAACATAATCAATTCTCAATGATCTGATTCTTAACAGTGAGTAATAGAGCAGAAATGAAAAGTGCTTTGCTGACCTAAATTTCCCCTTACTTGCCCTTTCCACCATTTTCACATCCAGCCTGCCATTCATACCAAAGCACTTAGCCATTTCTCCGTTCCAGGAGTTGTGAAGCTGAAAGACAGGAAGGCAGCTCAGTCGGAAGATCGGCTATTTACCTTCAGCATGTGAGAGGGGTGGGAAGAACTCTGGCCTCGGAACAAGATGGTGAGGCCAAACAACTTCGCTGAGTTAGTCTTTGCAAGGTGACTTGTATATTCAATGTATTATAAATTCATAGATATTCCTACTAAATTAAAATATGTAGATGCTTTTTAAAGTCAAATATAAAGATGCTATACTATTATTTTTCTCTTAATACTGAGGGTAAAATGTACTGTTCTCATGTATTTTTTCTTTGTTAAATATTCAAATAAAAGCTGCCACATGTAAAAGTTTAATTGTTGGAACAAAGGTCACCTTCTGCAATCTTAGTTTCATATCTTGCTTGGATATCACTTTTGCTCTATCTTGCTTTCTAACTCAGAGGTGAGAAATGAGCTCAGTTCTGATTAAAAGGGAAATACCATACAATATTACCAACACTTTTGGTTTTCTTCTTAAATAACCTGGCTTATTAGCTGATAATATTTTAGCCTTTTACAGTGCTCAAGATACATAATGATGATACTACGCATGATTCTATGAGAGAAAGGAGAACAAAGGGGAATACTGAAAGGGAAGAATATATGTGCATTAATAAAAGGTAGTAATTCATTTGCAACGGATTACACAGATATAAGAACCTCAGTAAAGAACAGTTTAGTTACAGACTAGTATCCAATAGTTGACATCAGAACAAACAGAAAGAGAAGCAAATTTACATTACAAAGAAGTGTGATGACTACATATCATTTCACAATGGAAAACACTGAACAAGAAAACAAAAAAGAAACATATTGACAAGATCAGACATATTTTTAAATATGCTGCATTTAATGCAATCCAAAGGCTATCAACAATTTAGATGCTGTGACAACATGCCACTGCAATTTATGGAAACAGTTAAAGCATTTTGCACTGATGGCTTGGTAACCAAAAACAGGCAAACAAATAATGCAACAAAACGGTAATGCATTCATAGTAACATACAACAGAATCATCTTCCAACCACAGCATTCTTCCCAGATTTTGAAAGAATTATGACATATGGACTGGAAGAACACAAAGTGCTTACAGTATTAAATACTTGGGTATTTACTTTGGCACAAAATTTGTGTTCCAACTAAATAAAATGAGATTTCTCCCCAAACACATATCCTTAGCAAGAGGATAAAAATGAACATATTACAAAATCAATATGGCCACATATACTGTTACAGGTTTTTTTTTTTTCCTTTAGGAACAAACATGAAGACAGAACAATAATCATTTCCAAGTTCAAGATACTACAAGGAAAGGAAAGTGCAAAGGAAAACTGCATTGATTAAACAGATTTTCTAAAAACAATTTTGGGAAAATTCGTTATTAAAGACAGAGAACTGTCTTCAACTTCCTTCCATTTATAACGAATCCTTTGTTTAACAGAGTCTACAACTGGGGTGGGCCCTGACCAGTAAGTAGATCAAAATGCACTAGGCTTCTCCATGCCCAGAGCTGGTCAGGAGGCAATGCAGGCCAGGAGTGCAAGGCCTGTAGGACTGAACACAGCTCTTACTGCTGCATTGTCAACTTCAAGTCTTTGCTCAGAAGAGGCTGGGTGGGGTCTCTGCTCCAAAGTCAACCTTCACCATTTTTAACATGATTTTTAAAAAAAATCCACCAAGTCAAGGTTTTAAGCAAAATGACATGAAACAGGAGCATGCATATTTGTGAAGAAGGGGAAAATGAGATGGGGGTTGTGGGAATAAAGTAAAAGGTCATAGAATATGTATTTGGTTGGCTGGCTAATAGGTGAATTTTAAGCAACTTTTCAGGCCAGTTTCACCTGAGGGGTTTAAATAGCATTATGGTGTGGCCTCACTTTATTTTCCAAAGTATTCTTTCTTTCTTTTTTTTTTTTAAATATATTTTAATTGATTTCAGAGAGGAAGGGAGAGGAGGAGAGAGATAGAAACACCAATGATGAGGGAGAATCATTGATTGGCTGCCTCCTGCACGCCTCGCACTGGGTGGAGGATTGAGCCCACAACCCAGGCATGTGTCCTGACTGAGAATCGAACTGTGACCTCCTGGTTCATAGGTTGACTCTCAACCACTGAGCCACAACAGCTGAGCATTTTCCAAAGTATTCTAAGTAAGATACTGTCTTTGAGAGGGTTAAGTGATTTGGTACAAAGGGCTTTTCATATAGGTCAACTAACTGGTACAGAAAAAATTTTAATGTAATTTTATATATTTATATTTTTTAATGGTTTGGCCTAAATATAAATTCTCTATATATGGACCATGATACACAGCTAGAAATCACCAAGCAGAGATGTTCCAAGTATCAACTTCGTGACAGGTAACGTAACTTGATTTCTAACTAGCATGAATATCTGATTTGCTTTTGGCTGTAAGTCCAACCATAATGGGGCTTATAATGTCTTTCCGCTTTACCTCTTTCTGTACATCCTTTGCTTGGTTTTCAGCCTTACTGAGAAGAGTTTTTAAATCAGTTGAATCCCGAAGATGCTGTTCTTTCAAGGATCCCATCTGATTCTCAAGCTCTTTCCTCGTCATCTGAAGGATGCCAAGATCACTGGTAAGCTCTAAACTCTGCTTCTGAGAACTGTAAGATAAATATTCACAGAGTTATTCATGTAGAAACTAGACACAGCAGGAAGTCCAATTCCTTAAACATTTCACTAGGAGGGATGGAGTGGATTTCAGAGAAAAGAAAAGTATATAAAAAATAAGAGTTTCAATAAAAAGTGTCAAAACACTAAAGAATGCAAGTAAGTTTAAAGCTGTGTCCTATTTGCAGATAATCAGATATACATAAAGGTTGAAATTTAAAAGTAGAAGTAGAAGGTGACTATATTTTGTTATATCACATTATATTAACTATCCTAAAAAGATTCAGTGTAGGTCTTCTACAGGAAAGAATAGCATGTGCTTCAACTATTTATTATAAGTACTTGACAAATAGGATGGGGGATAGAAACTCACAGTTTAGAAGTCACTGCCAATTCAAGTAAAGATAAACCTACTCAAATGAGAAGACACACCAAAATGGGGAAAAGCATAGGACAAAGAACCAGGAGGCTGGGGCCCCTATTTGGTTGTGGAATGTTAAGCAAGTCACTTAACTGGTATTAATACCATTCTCTGAGTAAGCATTTCCTGAGCTCTCAGATCTGTGCCGGCACCATGTTATACAGACACAGATAACATAAGGAGAGTCTCAGTGCTCTCCACGGAACTCAATTTCTGAGGCTGTTTTCTGGCTTAAATTCTATGATTACTAAATTTTAAAACTTGATTTAAAAAAAACAACCACAATTTACACACTAGGAAAACAGTTTTATAGGTATAAAAAGAAATTCTTTATTCAATTCCTTTTATATCACAGACAACAAAGAACAAAAGATCTGAATAGTATAGTTGTGTTAAAGAATTTGGCTTCCAGGACCTGGCTGGGTAGCTTAGTTAGAGCATCATCCCAATACACCAATGTTGTGGGTTCAATCTCCAGTCAGGGCACATACATGAATCAACCAAAGAATGTATAAATAAGTGGAACAACAAATCGATATTTCTCTTTCTTTCTCTCTCTCAAATCAGTTAAAGAGATCATTTGGTTCTCATATATAAATGAAACAGCTAGAGGAGGATAAGGTCTTAAAAATTACAGTTTATGCCTCTCAGGATGAGTCATAAGACTCAGGATGTAACTGAGGTACTATCCTATATAATAAAACCCTAATATGCAAATCGACCAAATGGTGGAATGACCAGTTGCTATGACGCGCAGTGACCACTGGAGGCAGATGCTCAATGCAGGAGCTGCCCCCTGGTGGTCAGTGCACTCCCACAGGGGGAGCGCCGCTCAGCCAGACGCTGGGCTCATGGCTGGTGAGCGCAGCGGCAGTGGCAGGAGCGCTAAGGATCCCTCAGCAGACATCCCCCGAGGGGTCCCGGACTTCGAGAGGGCGCAGGCCAAGCTGAGGGACCCCACCCCCTCCAGTGCACAAATTTTGTGCACCGGGCCTCTAGTGTAGTATACTAGTAAATCACATTTTGATTGTATTCTTTTTTTTTTCTTCTTTTGCTAGGCAGATTCTTAGGGGGCAGATATGATGTCAAGCCAATACAGCCAGGAACTAAATGGCAGATACTCTATCTCTTTTTCCCTCTCCATTCCTCTCTGAAATCAACAAAAATATATTATACACACACACACACACACACACACACACACACACACACACATACACACACACACACTTTCCTTTAAACAAACAAGCAACAAAAAATTGAAACATTAATGAGAGAGAACATGGATCAGCTACTTCCTGCACGCCCCTACTGGGGATTGAGCCCCTAACCCAGGCATGTGCCCTGACCAGGAATCAAACTGTCGACCTCCTGGTTCATGGGTAGAAGTTCAACCACTGAGCCACGCCAGCTGGGCCCTTTTTTCTTTTTTTGTTAAAATCCTTACCTGATATTTTTTTCCATTGATTTTTAGAGAGAGGAAGAGAGACATAGAGAGAGAAACATCCATGTGATCAGTTGGTTGTCTCCCACATGTGCCCTGACCAAGGTTGGGGATCGAGCCTAAGACCAAGGTAACCTTGACTGGAATTGAACCCTGGACTCTTCAGTCCAAAGGCTGAAGCCCTATTCACTGAGCCAAACCAGCTAGGGTGATCACTGACTTTTTGCTAACCTTAATGCTCTTGAGGAAGGTAACCACAAGGCTAGCAAGAATAATGACTTCCATTTTGGTGTACTGGGGAGAAGGAGGTGGATTTAAAGTAGCTTTAATAATAAACAGGTACTACTTTCATATTCTGAATAAGAGTACAAATGCTGTTTAAATAAAAATATAGAACAGATCAAATTTTTAAGGAAAAATAAATTTTGAACTCTGTAACAAACGTTTGCAGAGTTCAAATCCCCGTGGGAAAACAGGACTCCACTAATCTGTTGAAGTAAATCTACTGCATTGATTGGTTTGCATTTAAGGTACTGGATGCTAGAAAGATTTAACTGATTAGAGAATTCTTGATCTTATATATTATTACTCTTTATGTAACCCTGTTTGAAGTCCAGAAGCTCAATTTGTGTCTTTTAATTGTATAAATTCTTTGTCATGGTCATATCATCCTTATTGTAAAAGAAGGGATCACTGGCGTGAAAGGAAAGCAAACTTGTATTTGAAATTTATTATCATTTAGCTTATAGGACAAATTCAATCACTAATTAAAGATCTTTGCTGTTCATTTAGGAATATTTTTGGGGGGAGGGAGCATTTAATGAACCTATATTCCATGAGTACACCAAAAGGAAAGAATGTGTATCATGATGGTGGTGGTAGAAAAAAAAATGCTGAAGTAGTCATGTAGCATGGTTAACCTGCCAAACAGCCAAAATGAGACTGGCTGAACATTTTGCTCCAAAAATATTTAAGTATCAAAATTAAATTAACTTTAAATTAAAATGTAAGATAAAGAAATATTTCAAAGCTAAAAAGAGTTCTTGCATACTTGTGCAATTCTTTTTCTTGCCGCTGCAGTTCTGATGATAGCAAAACATTTTCCTTTTTTAGAGAATGGCATTCAGTTTCCAATAATTTCCATTCCTTTCTCAACTTCTCTAGTTCACCTAAAAGAATCCCAAAACATATTCATTAACATAGGAACATAACTTCCATAATTAAGAGAAAAAAAAGGTGAAATATTTCAGAGAACAACATACTTTCCCCCCTTTAAAAACATGTAGATTTTACATGGCTATTCTTAGATTCCTATTACTCCTCATCTATACCTCACGAGAAGCCCCATCACTTTGAACTTTTGTAATCCCCCTCCCCACTTGACTTTTCTAAGACAAATAATTTTTAACAGTATTTAAATAAAATATAAAATTATAAAACACTTAGCTTATTCTAGAACTTGCAGACCTGAAGTTCTTATAGCCCTACTATAAGACATTGCTTTGTATAATCAATTGCTATCAAAGAGAAGAAGAGCCTGGGTTGTTAATTTTTATAAGTTATATGGTTATCATTGTCAAGAGGTTAGAGCTTATGTAAAATACACTTATCCACCTTGTAGCCTTGTTGCTTCCTCTCTCTGCTGGTCCTCACATTGTTGACATCGAAGCTGAAAACTGTTTTGCAGACTTGTGATTTCTTTCTCATACTCAGACGCTGCTTTCCGCCACCTCTCAAGCTCACCTCGCACCTTCTTAAGCTCTTCTTGCAAAGAAGTAATGTCAGTGTCCCGCTCAGAGGCAGCCTTTTCTGCTGCTTGATGAAGAAGCAAAATCTCATCTCGGGCACTAAGCAGTTCATCTCGAGTGCTTGTGATTTCACTGTCCTTCTCCTCCCGGAGATTCTCAATATTGATGTGTAACCTCTGCAGTTGGGCTACAAAAGTATATTTATCTATCATTTTCTTAGTCCATAGCAATTAGGCATAAAAGAACAGCCCATATGGGACTGTAGTCACTACACAGCCCAAGCTATCACAGCTGTTTGTTGTTTTTTATTAGACTGTACAAGCAATCTATGTTTAATGTAGAAAATGTTAAAATACAGAAACACACAGAGAAAACAAACAAATTAATCTTTATTTCCCCCACACAGAGAAAATTGCTTCTAACATTTGGACTTATTCTTCTGGGT